AAATCCACCAGCCGCCACTTCTATTATGGTTTGATTTCTTTGTATGTATGGATCACTTGGGTTGTTACTGACATCTGGTGAAAATTTCATGTCATTAGCACCTCTAGTAATATACTGTATTTACTGAGAAAAATGGTGACGTGTTCAATACTTATTTTACCCGCTGTATTTGACTTGTACATATTTACCGGTAGCTGTTTTACATGATTGTTGAATGAAATTAACAAAATTAATACAATTAATTAGAAATAAAAATATCAGCCTTACTGAGTTGGGAAGGTGAATGTCAGGAACTTTATTATTTTTTAAGGGTTTGGCCTCACATAATCTATTTTGGTCTTATCTGCAGTTGGACTAGCTCTTAGCTTATCAGTCCTGTCAAACTTTAACTCTGTTAATTTCAAACGGAGTATCTGCAACAGATTAAAAAACTAGTTATGGGTCTGCCTCACTTCAAAATGACTGACCTGAGCATGACTCTGAGCCTGGTCTAGTGTACGCTGGTGACGTGTGCAACAAATAAAAGATATAAACAAAAAGCAGAAGTCGTTAGAAGTTTTTTATTGGTTGGTTTGAGCTGCTATGTTGCTGCTTCATGACCTGCAGTCACATCCAGAAATTAAATCAAATGGAAGTAAATGATTAACATTACGAGGCTTCAAGGCTTTTCAAAAATACAATCTGATAATATGCAAATGCACATGTAATCTGAGTACTTTGGCGTAATCCCATGTGTAACCGCAGTTCCACATTTGTCTGTTTAGAGACCGAAACGTGAAAATGATCTCAGTCTGGCATTGTTCAGCTAACAATCGTTAGGATTGATCTGACACAACAAACAGACCTACATGCTTATTCACTTGTTTTGTTTGGTGTGGCTGGGGGTAAATAAGGATTATAATCTGCTAATTCAGTTCACAACAAGTTCAAATGTTCAGTAATGAAAGCTGAATGTTGGTTTTATTCTTTTAATTTAACGAGGTAAACATTGTTTATCATTTACAGGAGAGATGCCTTCTGTCCTTTTCTTCTTTCTCTGTCTCCCTGTTGCCCCCTCTGTTTTTCCTCTCTCTGTATGTGTGTGTGTGTGTGTGTGTGTGTGTGTGTGTGTGTGTGTGTGTGTGTGTGTGTGTGTGTGTGTGTGTGTGTGCGCGCGCGCGCGCGTGCGCGTGCGCGTGCAGAGTGAGGTTATACCAAAGACCGGTTCATTAAGAGAGATGTGTGAAAAAGTGACAGCCTCGTCCTCTTTTTTCTTCTTCCCGTCTCACTACTTCCCCACCTCCTCACCTTCCCAAACTTCCTGTTGTGCATGAAAAAAAAAAAAAGAAATGGATTTGCATGTTTCGGGTTGTTTTGCTGATTGCTGCGGTGCTTTTCAGTGACATTTTGTTTGTAATATTTTGCTGTGCTGTGCCGTTCCGTCCCTCGTCAAACTAATTGTGCGAAAAGTTCCCTGTCTCATGTGAAGTGAGGTGCAGAGATCTCCTTCTGCTCTGTCAGCGGTGTATGAATTCAGCTTTCTCATCTTGGATATATAAGACACATAAATAAAGTGTGTTTTCATAGATACAGCCTTTAAAGTTGTGGCTAATAAAGAAATGTGAATATATATGTCAAAGTTATTCTAAAGCCTTAAGTTCGGCAGCTTTAATTCAATGGTTCTGCTTAAACCTGCACTTAATACCAGTATTCTTCTAAAGGTAACAGGTTTACCTCAAATAGAAGTTTTTTACCCCAACATGTAAATTTATTTGTTTGCTTTTTAATACGTATATCTAGAACTTCACTAAAAGTTCTAGTTTTATCTTTAGTTACATCAGTYATTCATATTTTACTGCTTTCTTTATAATAAGTGTTTTTGTAAATTAGCTTAAACTAATCTCACGTTAAAACTTTTTGTGTTTTGGTTATACGTGCTAAAAAGGGAAATAAAACTTGAATTAAATATATGCACCAGCTTAGACTTGATTATAGATAGTGTTTTAAAATAAAAACACAACAGGACAATTAAAAGAAAATATTAACATAAATGCTGGATTGGAGCTACAGTGACCCAGATGACAGAGACAGGAAGGAGATGCAGTCCTGCATGCAAGGAAATTAAAAAAAATGTTTTTTTTTTCAAGTCGATTTATAACAATAACAGAAACATACAAAACCCTTCAGAAGTGTAAAAAAGTTGCTACTGTTTCTGTTTAACTTTCTCCCCATATTGCCCCTTTTCTTCCCCCCTTTAACCCCGCCTCCTCCCCCACCCCSCACCAGCAAAAGCAGCGATGCCCGGTGCTGGAGGAGCAGCTGGTGGACCTGGTGGTGTACGCCATGGAGCGCTCTGAGACCGAGGAACACTTTGACGCCGACATCGGAGGAACGAGCCAGCTGCTGTGGCAGCACCTCTCCTCCCAGCTCATCTTCTTCGTCTTGTTTCAGTTCGCCAGCTTCCCGCACATGGTGCTCTCGTTGCACCAGAAGGTAAGAGGAAAGCAAGGCACACCTGGTTGTTGGTTCCAGGAGATCTGGGTAACTGGAAGCTGCAACATGCAGCAGTGTCGATATGACGCTGATCATCGAAACGTTTGCTGTGGATGTGAGAGGAGCTCTGTGTCTCAGGCAGAAACACAAATACCAAAATCATGTCGGTATTTATTTTTCAGAAAGGACGCTACTTTCTTTCAGTCATTTACAGTCTACAGCTACTCAGGTTATTTTTGTTTGTTTTTGAAGAGTCTTACGGCTTCTTGTATAAAATGAAAACCTGAAAACGTGTTTTTATTTGCATTAGCCTAAGGGCATTTCACAGTTGCTCCACATTTCTGAGCAATGCTCTAAAAATGTGAAACATTAGATTCTCAAATAAAAGACTAAGACCAGCAKTTTAACAAACAAAAGGCCTCGTGCAGATTACAGTATGTGAGCTCAATATTATTAAACCTTGGAAGTAATTCCTGTCACATTGTACAATATGTGATTAAATAGATGTCAGACTGGATRACTTCTTAAAGAGACTCATGTTTAWCATCAYAGTTCTGCCTCTTTCCTCTAAAAGCAGGAGCATGAAACTGAAGATGAGGCAGTTTTGTTTTTAACAAATTTTTTTCGCTAAACTTTGATGTGTAGCCTTGGTTTCATGTTAACTGACATTGTTCTCACACCCCTTGTTTTAATGCTTCAATTCACCAATAAATCCTGATTGTCCATTCACGGAGTACTTTTTATTCTTGGATGACGTGTTTCTGTTTTTGGGGAAATAAAGATTTCCACGGCACCATCAACACTTCCTCTTGATGGTGCCTAAATGTACAGTTTCTGTCACTAAGACAGATTAAATGCTGAGGAATTCTTGTGAAAAACAAAAATTCAAAAATATTTAACCAAAATAAGTTCAAATTCTATTTTTATGTTTCACTCATTTTTCATGTTTAGCTTGCAGGTAGAGGCCTTATTAAAGGGAGGGATCACCTGATGTGGGTCCTGCTGCAGTTTATATCGGGCAGCATTCAGAAGAATGCCCTTGCCGACTTCTTACCGGTCATGAAGCTTTTTGACCTGCTTTATCCAGAAAAAGAGGTAAGAAAGGATTATGATGCAGTGCTCAAAGTGCTTTACCAGGTTTAATTTTTTCCCTCTTTTGTTTCCTGTTGTGAACTTCGCTCCTTTTTTCTAAATAATATATTTAATGTCTTTGTRGCATTTTATATAGCCTTAATTTTCTTTTCCTTCAGTGTATTCCAGTTCCCGACATTAACAAGCCTCAGTCGACCCATTCCTTCGCCATGACTTGCATCTGGATCCACCTGAACCGCAAAGCTCAGAACGACAACTCCAAACTCCAGATTCCCATACCGCACTCCCTGAAACTGCACCACGAGTACAGACCTTTAACATTCTCAGCCTTAAAATCAAACATGATTGACATAAATGCCTGAAAACTCTTATTAGATTGCCATTAATTCCTGACTTTCTGCATCCCTGCCCCATCWTCTTTAGGTTTCTCCAGCAGTCGCTTCGTACCAAAACCCTGGGCATGTCTGATTATAAGATCGCCCTGCTGTGTAATGCCTACAGCACCAACTCTGAGTGCTTCAGCCTGCCTATGGGGGTCCTGGTCGAGACCATCTATGGGAAYGGAACTATGAGGACCAACTTGCCCGGCACCACCTGTACCGCGTCGGGATCAGTGACTCCGCTGCCCATGAACCTGCTGGATTCTCTCACTGTGCACGCAAAGATGAGGTAAAACAGGAAAATAATCCTTTTTAAAATAAAACCTTAAACGCCGTCTGTAATGTTTAAACTCCTCCTCTCTGTCTTCAGTCTAATCCACAGCATCGCCACTCGTGTGATCAAGTTGGCCCATGCTAAATCCAGCCTCGCCTTGGCCCCSGCGCTGGTAGAGACCTACAGCCGACTGCTTGTCTACATGGAGATAGAGTCACTGGGCATCAAAGGATTTATCAGTGAGCTTTCAYTTTATTTCAGGAAAACATATTTATGGATTTTTATTATCATTTCAGTTGCTTTGATCATTTTTTTAATGCCATTCAGCACAAATTCACATATCAGGTTGTTTTAAAGAGACAAATGATGCAACATTTTAAAGGGGCAATATTATGTGTTTCTCAGGCATACATTTAAATACTATACCATAATAAAGTATCTATGTCACCTTTAGCTGTTATTAAAATGCTGTTTTTATGCTTAAATAGAAAATAAACTTATCTTCTCATCACTTCCTCTTCTAAACACCTTGAAATTGGCCTCTGTCTCTTTTAAGAATCACCTTCCACTTCTGTCTCGCCCATTTCAGTGTGTGTGTGTGTGTGGGGTGGGGGGTGTTGTGCTCCAGAGGGAGGTTCGTGTGTGCGCTATGATGCAGTTTACTTGGCATCTGAAAAGAGCTTCACTGAGTGAGAAATAGTGTTAAGAGCACAGCAGRCAGTTTGAGTTTCACTTTCACTTTCACCGGAGAGCCTGCAGGAGTCATGGGTGTGTCTGTGTCAGTGTGTGTGTGTATATGGGGTGGGGTGCTCTGCCATGAGGAAGCTTGGCTTAAAGACACTTCCCAGRGRCGTTCCTGGTACCAAAAGGCGTTTCTGGTCCCCACCTGTCGTTTTGCTCCTCAGCATGGCTTCCTAAAAACGCTGCAGGATTTCTCAAACATGCATGAATGAGTCAAAGCAAGGMTTTGGGCATGTTTTTTATGAGAGTATAACATTATAACATGATATAAAACTCAAAAAAGTTGATTTTACATGATATTGCCCCTTTAAGGAAACATGAGAAAATAAAAGCTTGACAAACATTAAAAGTCCCCTTATTACACTTTGTTTCAACAATACTGTATTAATGTTATACACTGTACAAAAGCATTATTTAAATAGATGTAGTGAGACCAGCTATGTTGTAGTRTTTCACTGTGGTGACCCCTGAAATGGGAACAGCAGAAAGAAGAATATTTCTCTCTTTCTTTCTGAACTCGAGTCAAAGTTAGGATGTAAAAATTAAACCCCAATTAAAAGTTTTCCTGTTTGCTATTTTAGTTTTTGCTCATCTTGCTCGACATAAACAGGATAATTAATAAAACGCACCGCATCTGTTCAGGCCAGCTGCTGCCCAACGTGTTCAAGTCTCACGCGTGGGGAATCCTGCACACGTTACTGGAGATGTTCAGCTACAGGATGCACCACATCCAGCCGCACTACAGAGTCCAGCTGCTGAGTCATCTGCACAGCCTCGCTGCTGTAGCACAGACCAACCAGAACCAGCTGCATCTGTGGTAACCTCAGCACTCACACGTCCACGCACCCGGTATTAAGACACAACAAGGTTACAGTTGTTTTATAGCAGYACATTACAGTTTTTGAGTTAGAAGTTGTAAAAAATAACCCCCAGCAGCTAACAGGTTTAAAATATGGCTTGTCWTGAGTTGTAAAACTGATGCCAAATATAATGCCACAGCTAGGCCTGCCACCATGACAAATTTTGCTGGACTTTTGTCTCAGAAATTATTGTGATGAACAATAATATTGTTTGGAGATCATTTTAAACTAATATATTGATACTCTSCACCCCGGCTTATGAAGCTTACTCAAATTTATGAAATTTACAGACATAAAAAAGATTTGATTTGGAAAACAACACACCACAAATTCGCTTCCCACCTCCTCTATCCTCTAGCATAATTAATTGATTTATCGCTTATCGCGACAGGAGATTGCGTTCCACAACGTTGTAAAGCTGTTGCAGTGTGCAGCGTCACATCTGGGAGTAGTTTTAGTATTTTAGTTGAGTAAAGATCYTAGCTGTAGTGATGTTAAACAGGGTTCCTGCAGATCCTTAAAAAGTCTTAAAAGGCATTGAATTTATCAGTTCAAAAATAAGGCCTTAATTAGCCTTAAAATGTCTTAAATCAATTTTTCTGAAGTCTTAAAATGTTACAATGTTAACACATTGTACATAAGATGATTGTAATTCATCTCAAATATAAAAATAACGGGTAAAAGTATTTTTTTTAAATATTCACATGCAGACATTCCCCTTTAACATCACTTCCTGTTATTTCAAATGTAAATATCTCAACTGCTCATTTGAGCAACATGAAATTTGTTTTGTAATATGTTCATGTTGTCTCTCTAAAAATGCACTCACTTTTCTTACAATAAATTGATGTCACAAACACTTTAAGGTTTCATCTTCAGCAAATTGGGGTTAAGACCCCACTGTGGGTCCTAAAACTCCAAATTTTGGGTCCTTAGAGGATTTCTTGAAATTTAAGTTTAAAACTGACTGCAAAGAAGGTTTCTGCTATAGTTAGATATGGATAAAAACAATTGGTCTATTTGCAATATTTGAATACTTAAACAAAAAATACCTTTTTTGTTTATAAGTTTTTGCTTTTTTTGTCATTTGTGTTTATTATGAAATTGGTCTTAAATTTAATTTCACTTGGCATTAAAAAGTCTTAAAAGGTCTTAAATTTAACTTGCTTTAAACTGTAGGAACACTGGTTAAAAGAATTGGTAGCCTTCCTTCGATGGGTGTATTCTTGTTTAATAGAGTTTGTTTTCAGACAGATTTGTGTCTCTCTCCTCAGTGTTGAGAGCACAGCTCTGCGGCTGATCACAGCTTTGGGGAGTTCAGAGGTACAACCTCAGTTCACCCGCTTCCTCAACGACCCCAAGACGGTTCTGTCAGCTGAATCTGAGGAGCTGAACCGAGCCTTGATCTTAACACTGGCCAGAGCCACACATGTTACCGGTACCTCTCAGCCTGGGCTTACTCCAAACATTGTTTTCTCTTTGAGATCATATTACAGATGGTTTTTTAATCAGTTATTCTAAATCTCTACCACAGTTTTTTTATACAAGATGATGACTTTTTTTTTTTGTATATTTGTAGATTTTTTCACAGGGTCTGACTCCATCCACGGCACCTGGTGTAAGGACATCCTCCAGACCATCATGAACTTTACACCTCATAACTGGGCCTCACACACTCTGTCCTGCTTCCCTGCTCCACTACAGGTGTAAATATATCAGCTCCTTTCATACACAAAGTGATGACAATAATAATAAAAAAAATTGAATATTTTATTCTATTTGTAACAACTTCAACTCCTGCATGTTTTTGCTTCAGGCGTTTTTTAAGCAGAACAACGTTCCTCAGGAGTCTCGTTTCAACCTGAAGAAGAACGTAGAGGAGGAGTACAGGAAGTGGAAGTCGATGGCCAATGAGAATGACATCATCACGCACTTCTCCATGCAAGGCTCTCCTCCCCTTTTCCTGTGTCTCCTGTGGAAGATGCTGTTGGAGTCCGACCACATAAACCAGATTGGCTTTAGGTCTGCAGCGGCCTTTTTGTAATCCTGAATTAAAGGTCTTTGCTTTGTAAAACTTTAATTTCAGTTTCAAGCTTGATCTAGTCTTACAGGTTGTGCAATGATAAAGACTAGTGTATTCTGTTCTAGTTTTAGTCTTAGTGGGGGAAAAAAACAGACACATTCCAATGATAACCGGTTAAATATAATAAAAAAAATTTCACCATATTAGTTGTTGGTGTTGTCAGGTTGCACTAAGTAAAGACCACACTGGTTTTATCCTCATAAATTGTCTTAATGGTAATTTTGAGACTTTACATAATTTGACTTTGAGTAGAAATAAGGTTCCACCATCATTTATTACTATTTGATAATGTAGGAGTTTGCTGCCCTATTCTAAATAGTTTTAATAAAAAGTTTCACTTGTTTTCCCTCTACATCAGGGTCTTGGAAGGTATCGGAGCTCGTGCGCTGGTGGCTCATGTCCGCACCTTCGCCGACTTCCTCGTCTATGAGTTTTCAACTTCAGCCGGTGGACAGCAGCTCAATAAATGCATTGAAATACTCAACGACATGGTCTGGAAGTACAACATAGTCACGCTGGACAGACTCATTTTGTGTTTGGTGAGGTCATAAAGACGTTTAAGGTTACTTTGGGACAACACAGACAAGATAAACATCTTACCTAGTCTTTACCCATCTTCTCTTTTATGTCCAGGCGATGCGTAGCCATGAAGGAAACGAAGCTCAGGTTTGCTACTTCATCATCCAGCTGCTGTTGTTGAAGCCAAACGACTTCAGGAACCGAGTCAATGACTTTGTGAAGGAGAACGCCCCGGAGCACTGGCTGCAGAGCGACTGGCACAGCAAGCACATGAACTACCACAAGGTATATGTGAAACAATACATCCAAGTGTTGGGTCGTTTTCTCCTAGGTTAAATAGAAACTTGAATAAAGAGCAGACAGATTTGAATCAAATTTTTGTTTGTTTTAACCAGAAATATCCAGAGAAGTTATACTTCGAGGGTCTTGCAGAACAAGTAAGCCCTCCCATGCAGCTCCAGCAGCAGTACCTGCCAATCTACTTTGGCAACGTGTGTCTGCGCTTCCTGCCTGTCTTTGATATCGTCATCCACCGCTTCCTGGAGCTTCTTCCTGTCTCCAAGTCTCTGGAAACACTGCTGGACCATCTGGGAGGATTGTACAAGTTCCACGGTGGGTGTTGATGAAAGATGTTGAAGTTGTGTGTGTTTATTTTTTATTATTATTAAAGGTACAGAAATCGGCAGTATTGTGGACTGGTTTATATTTTCTTTATTTATTTTTTCTGCAGACCGCCCGGTGACATATCTGTACAACACCCTTCATTACTACGAACGGCATCTGAGAGACCGGACCAACCTGAAGAGGAAGCTGGTCCACGCCATCCTGTCTTCCCTGAAGGTAGCACATATTTAAACACATTTGATGTTTTTGATGTTAGCAGCTGCACGTTCCAAACTCTAAAGTTCTGTTTATTAGGACAATCGTACTCCGGGTTGGTGTCTGAGTGAAACATATTTGAAGTGTGGAATGAACCCAAGAGAGGATAACGTTTGGATCCCCGATGACACCTACTACTGCAAGCTGATTGGACGCCTTGTAGACAATATCCTTTAATAACAGATGTGTCACCAAAGCAACATCAGGCTGACACTACTAGCTTTGTTGTACTTTGGTAACACTGGTTTTATTTTTCCCTTAATTTATTAAATTAGTTGTTTCAGTTTATATTATTGCATCCCAGGCTTTGTTTAAATTTTGCTGGCTCTAGCCATTTTGGTGCCCTAGACGAGTTGAAGCGCAACCCCCTCCGAGCTATGTCCCACCCACCCCAATCGAACCCCTAAAAACAAGTTTGACAGTGTATGGTACTATGGTAAACTTAGATTTATTTGCTTTCCCAGAAAGCAAATAAATAACAACATACATGTCAACTTGTACGGATTATCCATAAGTTATAAGGATTTTACGTCATTTTGCAGGTATACGGACGTATAGAGCAATCTCACAGATTTTTAATTTAGCTAACATGTCAGAGCCTGTAGGATGATTTTAAAAACAATAAATAACATTAAATTGCCATCTTCCAACCTGTTCTACCGGTAGAAATAGGTTTTGAACTTTTTCCGCTCTCCTTTCCTCCTGCTTCGCAGCGGACGCTTTCACGTCCTCAGCGAGGCTGACACCCTGCGAGTTGTATGGATTTTTTGCAAAATTTACTGATTTTTGAGGCTTTTTATACAGGTAAATGGCTGAAGAGGTTGACATGTATGGGACAACAAAATACAGACTTGTTATTGAGTTTGTCAACACAAATCACTACCTGAGAGGCACTACTAGCCCCTCCCCCATCAGAGTGTCTGAGCAGGACGAGTCATTGCAATGTCAATCAAATGAGAGAGAGGGTGGGGGCGTTTGCTGCATTGGGGGGGTGTTTATGGGTAGAGTAGKTTTTTTTYCTGTAATGCCTCATTRTAGATTTTTTAAGACAAAGCTAATTGAAAGGGGYGCTGARCAGAGTTACAACCAGGGATTACAAATAATTACTTTTTTYTTCTGCAGTTTGGCGCCCCCTCCAGCAGATGGCGCTCTAGGCGACCACCTAGTTCGCCTATGCCAAGAGCTGGCTCTACCAGGAATGTTATTGAGGACAAATAAAAACATTTCTTCCTTCAGTGGTCTTTTTTTCTCTTTAACTCGTTCCTACCCATGGCGGGAAAGTCACCCGGTCCCTTCCCCAACTGTGACTGGAGGTTCAACGAGTTCCCCAACCCCGCAGCTCACGCCCTGCACGTCACCTGCGTGGAGCTGATGGCTCTGTCCGTCCCAGGAAAAGATGTCGGCAACTCTCTGCTCAATGTTGTGTTGAAGAGGTGCCACTCACTGACAGATCAGTCTATTTATCGGCTGATTTTTGGGTTTTAGATTTATTGAAATGTAACTTTTTTCCCCCTATTTTTCAACCTTGTAGTCAGCCTCTGGTTCCCAGAGAGAACATCACAGCTTGGATGAATGCAACCGGACTCGTGATTACTGCACTTCCTGTGAGAAAAATGAACACAAGTCTTAACTTTTTTTGACAAAAATCGTCCCCAAATAAACATTTTCCGTGATCCRCTTCTGGTCTTTTCTTCAAGGAGCCTTATTGGATCGTCCTCCACGATCGCATCGTGTCTGTGCTCAGCTCTCCAGCGCTGACATCAGAGACGGAGTGGGGGGATTATCCTTTCGCCTTGCTCGACTTCACTGCCTGCCACCAAAGCTACAGCGAAATGAACTGCAGCTACGTGCTAGCGTTAGCGCACGCCGTCTGGCATCACTCCTCCATCGGGCAGCTGTCTCTGATTCCCAAGTAGGGGCCTCTCTTTCTTTCGTCGTGTCTCGTTTGTCCTCTAGCATTTTGTCTGTATACGATCCTCATTATTGTGCGTTTGTGTAGATTTCTGTCGGAGACCCTGAAGCCAATCGTCCAGACGGAGTTCCAGCTCCTCTACGTGTATCACCTGGTGGGGCCGTTCCTGCAGCGCTTCCAGCAGGAGAGAACGCGCTGCATGTTGGAGGTGAATATTATCAGATAAAAGCAGTATTTACCCATAGACTTAAATATAAAGATCACTAGATTGAGCCCCGCCCATACCGTCCACTGGTAGTCTGTGACAGCACGGAGGAGCAAAAATGGTGTCCAAAAAGGGCAACAGCTCACAGCCTCCATAGAAACTAATAGATAAACAGTAGCTGAACTGGATCTGTTTCACAGATTATCAGTCATGTTTTTACAATAAATTAATAATTGTTAATTTCATTCAACAATCATGTAAAACAGCAGATTTATACCAGAAAAATATATAATTTATAAGTAATGATCTAAACCAGACCTGAAGTCAGCCTGTAACTTAGACTTTAGCTAGTTGAAAAATGATGACTTCAGTTAGTAATAAAGTATATTTATTATTTCTTCTTACTGTCATAAAAAATAAGAATATTTATATTTACCAGTCAACAGTTAGAAAATGTTCTCTGGTTATAGGATGAAACTTGTCTCTATTAGCTAAACATCTTCTCAACAAGTCAGGTTCCTTTAACAGAAAACTAAAAATACATTTATAATATTATTTTACACTCTGTAGGTCTAAATATTAATCAGAGGATTATTTTAATTTTAAACTGTTACATTATGTTCTGCTCAGATCACATTGAGCTAAATAAGATCAAATCTGCTGACTTGTGTTGTAAAATGAGACGTTTTCCTGTTTATCTTCTGTTAATAAATCCATAACAACAAACAGCTTTTCTGACATTATTTAAAACATTATATAGATTAAATAAACTGTAAAATATTAATAATTGGGTTAATAATAATATAAATAGTTTTTATGATTTCTGCATCATCAGTCCTTTTTTCTGCTCTGGTGTCATCATGTACAGTAATGGGAAATCCAGACTCTTGACCGTTTTGCATTAGCCGTTAGCTTCTCCAGTCRATCACCCGGTCACGTGGCTTCCAGCTGTTCTATAGAACCTCCTTGTATTTACCTCATCTAGACAGTTTCATAACAGGTTTAGTTACGGGTTTTATGAGTCTGCAACATATTTTAACGTAAATTCCTGTCTGTGTTTTTAGATTGGTGTGGCTTTCTACGAGATGCTGCAGGCCGTCGACCAGCACTGCGCACACCTCAGCTACATGGATCCAGTGTGTGACTTCCTGTATCACATTAAATACATGTACACCGGAGACAGCGTGAAGGAGCAGGTGAGCAGAGCGTCGTGGTGAAACACAAGTCGCTCTGTTGTCTTTTACAGCAACAAGAAAGTGTTGTCCATCCTGAAAAATGGGACGAAACAATCAGTGATTTCAACAGTGTCTTCATCACTAAAGCAGATAAAAATGTAAAATAAACATGAGGGAAAAAAGCATCAATATAAGACATCTTGTTCCAAACAGAAGCTGCTTTTGAAAGGATTTACTCGTGTTCAAAGCATCTGGTTGTTGAGCTAAATTACATTTTCTGGGAATCTAGTTGAGACATAAACAAATAAAAGCTTGCCCCGAAACACAGGCTACAGAGAAAAATACAGATTATTTTTAGTCCCCATGATTGTGTAATTACAGATTATATTTTATTGAACAGTGTTTTTCCAGCCACTGCTTTGGTTTTATTTTATAATTCAGCATTTTCTAGTTTGTTCAGTGGAACGACTCATCAGTTTGGGAGCCGACACCGTAAATAAAAACTTGAAACTAGAGTTTCTGTTTAGTGAGARGGTTGAACTCTATAAACAAGTTTCAAATAAACCAATTTAATTGAGCAGAAGACAATATGTGAAAGATGCATGAAAAAAAACAAGTGGCGGCACTAAATTCMACGATGACTCAGCACTTTCTGTTATTCACAACTTTAGAGAAATAACTGTAGAAATCAGTAGGTTTTTATTTTTTTACTTTAACATGATTGCTATGCTTCTTATGAGTGTGTCTTTGTGTGTGTGTGTGTGTGTGTGTGTGTGTGTGTGTGTGTGTGTGTGTGTGTGTGTGTGTGTGTGTGTGTGTGTGT